CTCCCAGGCCGGGCGGGTGAGGGGACTGGGGTGTTGTCTCTCTCAGGGATCTTACGTGCTAGTGGTGGGGAGAGGGGGCAGGGGGCAATAGCCCCTGGACTTACTCAAGGCAATTGTCCAGCTGGGTCTCTGAGGGGATCACTCCTCTTTCTCCTCGGGGTGTGGTTGGGCCACAGAGCTATGCTCCCATGGAAGCAATGGCCACCCCTTCAGCCGTGGTCCCTCTGCCCAGTGGCCTGGCGCTTGGAATGCCTCACAGCAGAGGCAGGGGCTGTGGGCTGGAGGGGGTCAGAGGCCCCTTCCACCCTCCTTGGTCCCAGGGGCCTGGGCCTGCATCAGGTTTGCTTGCACTTCAAACCTCTGGGGAATATTGGAGCTCACAGTTCATTACAATGACGAGATCGCACCTTCTGTGGACAATAATCAGACCTGACACAACCGTCCCCGCCCTCCGCCTGCCCTCAGCGCCCTGCACAGTCCCACCCATCAAAGATGTGCCTGCCGAGGCCAGTGGCTTTCCATATTTAAAAATTCGGGACCCATTTGAAATAATAAACACCCCGTGGGTTTTTTGTATTTTATAAGACAAAAGTCATAGGTTTAAAAATTTTTTTTAATCCTAGGTTCTTTTTAACTCTCCAAATAGAAAAAACAAAACAAAAAAAAACAATCATATTGACCAGACACACACGTCTTAGGAGAAAACCCTTTTCTCTCCCCAAGCCCCCAGATAGTAACTGATAGGGCCTGCAGCTCACACCAGGTCCGCGTCCCAGCTCTTAGAGCCCGGGGGAACTCTTGACCTTGACTGCCCTTCAGCCCACTTTCTCATGACCACACAACAGAGGCGGCAGCATACGCAGGTACTGCTCTGGGGGACAAGGAGGCTTTGATGTCTCCTAATTAGTTGCCAGCCTCCCAGGGCCCTGTGTGCCGGAGGTGTGAACAGAATGAACCATTAATAAGACTGACTCCGGGAAGCCGGGATCTAGCTGGGGAAGTAGGCACAGGCTGTTTAGCCAACAACAAGCGGCCTTGTTGTACACAGATGCACACACCCCCCCACACACAATCACAGCCTGTCTCACCCTCCCCACCAGGCCTGCGCACAGGCACGCAGCACCCCAGCACAGAACTCTGCTGGCTGTGGGCATCCGATAAACACCCCGCTCCATAAACCCCAGACATTACTGCCGTGCCCATGCCGGCGCCCCCTGCTCCTGCCCCTTTGAAGGGCCCTGCCACATTAAGACTCTGATTGTGACTATTCAGTGTCTCTTCCCCGGGGCAGGGAGGGGACCAGGACAGACGAGGCTTGTCTGGCCTCAGAAGGCAAAGGGAGCTCTGGGATGGCTCAGAGCAAGGAGCCAGAAGCTGTTCCTGCCTAGCTTGCCACTCAATGCCTTAACCTCTTCCTAGCGGCCTCGGAGGGCTTCCCCCCGCTGGGACCCCTCCTGTAAGGCTCTGGCCCCCTTTCATACTTCCAAGCCAGCTCTCCATCAATGGCCTTGTCTTTTCCCAGGCCTAAGAGCATGTTCCCCCACACACACACCCATCCCTGCCCCCCACACACGCACAATGTGACTGTGAGCCACCAAGTGCACGTACCACGTGCCCCCTGCTTTTGTGATGGGCACCCCAGCGTTGCAACACAAACACTGCCCAGCCCATAGTTAACCCACCCCATGAGGTCCCCCACTACCCCATCCTAGTCCACACCCACAGGTCCCTGTCTGGGCTGCTCACCTTGCCACAGTAGCCCTGGGCAACCTACACAGCCTTCATTTCCCCCCTCCTCCAGCCTTATCCCCGTCTCTCACTTCCCTGAGTTCTGCCTGCATGCAGGGGAGGGTGGGGGACAGAGAGACTGGCTGGAGCCAGAGCAGGGAGGCCGCCTCTTTGCCCGTGGAGAACAGCTTTGCTGGGCAATGGCTCATCCTAGTCAGCTGGTACACCCAGTCCTGGGAAATGTGGGGTCGGGGCAGCTGCTTGGTTGTGTACCAAACCCCAGGAGGGCCAGGCTGGGCCAGCACTCTGTGTGGGGTTAACAGTACAGCTCAGTGGGGCGGGGGTCTTGGTGAGAGGGGCCCAGCCTTCTCTCCTTCCAACCTCAGAAGACCTTGGACTTAGCCCTGCAGGAGCCTGACTGAGGCTGGAGTGAGGGGGCAGCAGGAACCCTGTAGAATGGGGCCAATAGGGAGGGTGGGGGATATTGACGGTCTCGGCTAGAAGAGGCTCTGTTGTCCCGGGCGTTGTCTAGCCTGGGAGGAGCATCTCTTTCCCGCGGCCTAAGAGCCCCGGTTTCATCAGGTAGCCCTTCTCCGTCGCACAGGCCAGAGCGAGAGTGTGTCTTCTGTGCGGTCTCAGGAAATGGCAGGGAAGGGCTGGGGTCCGAGTTTAGCTCCCTGGACCACGCCCTCCACCAGCAGCGCAAATCCCCTTGGTACAAACTCTCCTCTGTCCCATCATGGGGGGCTGAGCTGGGCGGTGCTGGGTGCTGTTACCCCTTTGGGGACCCCTCGTTGACTGGGGCAGCCGGTCCCCTGCCCTGTGCTCCTCCACGTTCCCGGCCTCATGGTCGTCCCCTCCTGCCTCTCGCTCTGGTGTTTGGTTCACCTGTGCCTGTTCTCTCCTTCGCCCTCCTCTGACTGCGTGAGGACCCCTCCTCTGGACAGGAGCTCTCTCTGGGTTCCCGCCTGCCTTGCCTGCTCACGGCCACCGACTAGGTAGTGTGCCCCGTCCGAATGCCAGTGCATGCCCCTTGCATGCCCATGGAGAGAGGAGGAGCTGCCTCTCCGTGGGAAAGATGGTGCCAGCTTCCCAGCGGTGCTGCTGGCATGGGAATTGGCATGTGCTGGGAGGAGGGGTGGGGGTCTTCCCAGATGTTGATTAATTGCCCTTCCGACCAAAGATGACCTATGAGGGGGAGAGTGGGCGTGGTAATTGTCCCTGCTACTTGTTTGTAATCACCTCAGGCCGGCCAGGTAAGCTTACCTGGATCTTGGGTCATCAAGCGGTACCAGAGAGCCAGCCAAGGCAGATAGCAGGGTGGCGGCTGGGCCCCTCGGGTTGGCTTTGGGCCACTCTCTTCACTGTGCCCACCTGGGAAACCTGTTGCAGGTCAAGGGAATGGCCTGCCTGACCAACTGCCCTGGGCTGTTCATGCCTCCCCCTACAGGTGACCGTGTGCTGGCTGGACCAGGCCGGGGCCAGCTCGGTGCGCTGCCTCTCCCCACAGGCCGAGCACGCGGGGGTCCGAACTTACTTCTTCAGTGCCGAGAGCCCCGAAGAGCAGGAGGCCTGGATCCAGGCCATGGGGGAGGCCGCCCGAGTCCAGATCCCCCCAGCCCAGAAGTCGGTGCCCCAGGCTGTGCGCCAAAAGTGAGTGATGGGCTATCCGGAAGGGGGGCGGGATGCTCGAGAAAGAGGAGGACTGGAGACATGCCCCCTCTGGGTCCTGGCAGAGGGCAGCATGGAGCTCTGGAGCACCGGGAGTAGGGGGCCTGCACCTAGCCCCCAAAGCAGGGGCCTGCTCTGTGCTTCAGAAGACCCTGGGTGGCTCAGAGGGTTACTGTGCTCAGCTGCTAAGCTAAATAAAGACTGAAGATGTGAAGCCACCTGGGGGGCTCAGAAGAAAGGCCTGGCTGTGAAAAACAAACAAACAAACAAAAATAACAGCCACTGAAAATTCTGTGGCGTGCGCGCATGCGCGCACGCGGACACCTGCCATGAGTTGGAATTGACTTGGAAGCACCTGGTTTCTGGTTGGGGTTTTCCTTCCAGATTGGGAGCCCACCAGCCTGACAGCCAACACGTCTTTCAAGTGAACTTAAAACGGCATTTGTCACGCGTCAGCCCTCAGGGGAGCTGGGACCCTGTGTTGCCTCGTCAGTGATGAAGTCCCACATGGCCTCCCGCCCGTGCTCAGGCCTCTCCTCCGCTGCCTAGAACCACCATCTCACCAGGGCCTGGCCAGGGCCCTTTCCCGAGGCTCCAGGAAATGCCGGGCATGTGCTCATGCACGGGGCCTTTGAAGGCAGGCGGACACAAGTGTGAATCCCAGCCTGGCTGGGAGCTCACCGCAGGGTGCCTCAGGGCAGCTCACGGCACCCCCTGAGAACTAGGCTCTCCTTGCGGAACAGGCCTTGGTCTCCTACCTCGCAGGGCTGCCGTGGGGACTACCCGTAACATACTGAGCGTGTAGGAAACCCTCAGGCCCTTCTGCGTCCGCAGGCTCAGCACTGGTCTCTGCCTTCCCCAGGTTTGCAGTCTGGAGTCAGGTGTGTGAGAGGGACCCAGAGGAGTGAGTTTGGCAGTGCAGACTTCAGGAGTCTGTTTGCATGTCCTAGAAATGCTTACCAAGCAATGTTTCCATAAGGACCCTTGAGTACGTCAAGTGTGCGTGTAACACTTACAGGTATATAAGTATTATATATAAATGATGTGATTTATATCATATAGCATATACTAAATATTATCTGATGTATGTTATACAAGGACCCTTGAATATACGAGTATATTATAAGGACCCTTGAATTTGCCAAGTGTGCTGAGTTTCCATCTTCGGTTCAACCCAGGGTCGCGGCTCCAGAGGCTCAAGCACTGGCGTCACGGCTGTGTACTATGATTGCCTGTGTGAAGCATTAGGCCGGGCACTAGGGGCACCAGGAAGGAGGCGCCTGGCCTGGTTCCTGCCCTTGCGTCGCTTGGGTTCTAGTGGGAAGCCAGTCCTGGTGAAACTGGAGAAGGAGGTTCCCACATGCATGGGCCTCTGATGCTGTGGATAGGTAGGCCTGCCCTTGGCTCTTTCCAGGGCTTCTCTCACAACAGCCCGATGAGGGGAGGTGTTACACCCCATTTGTCAGATTCATGGAGCCCAAGATTCGTGGAAGCCAAGGAACTTCCAGAGGGCAAGAGAGAGTCGGTAGATAACAGGGCTTTGTGACTAGAACATTCGGGGTGGCAACTGACTAAAATGCTGGTAGAGAAGTCCAAGTTGCCTGCAGCAGGCCAGACAACAGAGGCTAGTCGTGGTGCAGGTCTTGATGGAGGCCGTTAGTCCAGGTGGACTAGAGAAACAAATCCAGAGACATTCATATGTGTGTAAGAGAGAGCTTTCTATCAAAGAGCAATTGTATATTGAGAAACCATCCCAGCCCAGTCCAGATCTAGTCTATAAGTCCAATATTGGCCCATAAGTTCGATACTAGTCCATCAATTTCTCTTCGGACTCACATAACACATGCATTGTTGCTGAATGCAGGAGGATCACAGGCCGGTGGGTAGAAAATCTTGTGGATCCAATGGCGGTGGAAGTATCACCCACGCTGGTGCAGGTCTCCACGTGACTCCTCTAGCTCTCCGAGTTTCTCAACAGCAGGAAAGAGGAAGAGAGGAAGTCCCAGAATCCTCATGAGAGGGATCACCAGGCTGTGACCCGATTGACAGGCTAGACTCCAGCCCTTCATTCTTATATATGAAGTTGACATTGCAATTATGTAAGTGCTACCGAGGGCGTGTTTAACCAGAGCCTCAAGGCTGCGCTCAAAGTAAGCCCACGGGACGGAGTGGAGAGTGACTCAGAGGGAAGTCCAGGGATGCTGGACATCACCAACCATCAAAAGTCAAACTATAAAACACAATCAGTAGCCAGCAAGGTGACTCTGCTTCTTGGCAACCCCAAGCCCACATGTGGCACAGGAAGCCTCAGTGGCCGGTCTTTGGGAATTCAGTCACCCGGCCTTTCTTCCGAGACACCTCTGGGTTAGCTTGCCCCTCCAACCTTTTGATGGGCACCAAATACATGCCCCCACACACCCCTGGAGGCTCCTAGGCAGGAGAGGATTGTGTTTTCTAGTAAGTGCCCAGTGTTGGCTAAAGCACCGAGGTAAAGCGATAAGAGTCCGTGAACAGAATGGCAATTCGTTGAACCCCGTTTCCCTTGGCACCTCCCTGCCCGCCTGTCTCCCCTCCTGTCTCCTCCTCAGTCTACCATTCCCCGCCCAACTCCATCCTAGGCTGGAGTCACTCACAACATCTCCCTTGGCATCCTGCAGCCATGAGAAGCCAGACTCAGAGAACATCCCACCCAGCAAACACCACCCCCAGCAGCCACACAACCACCTTGCCAAGCCCGAGCCAGAGGCCAAGACTCGAGGGGAGGGTGACGGCCGAGGCTGCGAGAAAACAGAGAGGAGGCCCGAGAGGCCCGACGTCAAGAAGGAGCCTCTGGTGAAAGCCAACGGTATCCAAGCTGGACCAGACCCAGCCTCCGAGCCCGGCAGCCCTTACCCAGACGGCCCAAGGATCCCAGGGGGTGGGGAGCGGGCCGGCCAGCCCAATGGCTGGCCTTATAGCTCTCCAAGCCGACCAGGGAGCACGGCTTTCCCGCCTCAGGAGAGTGCAGAGAGTGGGGGCCACCGGCAGAGCTTCCCACCCCGCACCAACCCTGACAAAATCGCCCAACGCAAGAGCTCCATGAGCCAGCTTCAGCAGTGGGTCAATCTCCGCCGGGGGGTGCCCCAGCCCGAAGACCTTCGGAGGTGAGTCCCAGGGCTGGGGAGCATTGAGGGGGTGCTGTGGCTAAGGGTAGCAGTAACACTGTGAAGCACTACTTTTTGGAAAGGCTCAGGAAATGGGCTTCAAGGAAGCTCCATGATTCCCAGCATCCCCAAATTCTTTCCCACTGCCCAGCTCCATCGTCAGGGCCTGGCTCCTGTTCTTGGTGATGGTCTCAGTCTACTCCGTTCCTCCAGAAGGAGCCCGGTGCCCCTTCGCAAGGGACAGGCAGTGCCAGTCACACAGTGGCTGTGGTTCATGGCCGTCCAGTTGGCTTTGGCTTATGGCGACCCTACACATGTCAGAACAAAACGCCCGCCCCTGCACCAGTTTCATGGTCAGTGGGATTCCCAAGTCCATTGTTGCGGTCACTGTGTGTTTCTCCAGTGCCTCCCAACCTATGTGGGGGGGAGGGGGACCCATCTTCTAGGACTGTATCGGGCAGGGTGCTCCGTCATGGGAAGGGATCAAAGAGCATTGTGGTCACCTATCTGCCCAGGCTTTAGACCAGTGGTTCTCAACCTTCCTAATGCTGAGACCCTTTAACACAGTTCCTCACGTTGTGGTGAACCCCTTTCCCAACCATAAGATTATTTTCTTTTCATAAGATTATTTTCGTTGCTACTTCATAACTGTCATTTTGCTACTATTATGAATTGTCATGTAAATATCTGATGTGCAGGATGTATTTTCATTGTTACAAATTGAGCACAATTAAACATAATTAAAGCATAGTGATTAATCACAAAGTAATATGTAATTATATATTTGAAATATTTATGTGTTTTACGAGGGTCTTAGGCGACCCCTGGGAAAGGGTCGTTCGACCCCCAAAGGGGTCTCGACCCACAGGTTGAGAACCGATGCTGTAGCCCCTCTTAGAACACAAGGCTCACGGACCACAAGCCCAACCCACTCGAGTTCTCTAACAGCTCGCAGGGCACAGCGGTGGTTCGGTGGCAGAGCACTCGCCTTCCACCGGGGAGACCCGGGTTCAATTCCTAGCAAGTGCGCTTTGTGCACAGCCACCATTCACCTGCCGGTGAGGGACCAGTATAGCTTTGACGCTGGATAGGTTTTGGTGGAGCTCCCAGACTAGGACTAGGAAGAGAGATGTGGCGATCTACTTCCCCCAGACTCAGTCAAGGTGAACCCCATGGATCATAGATCACAACCGCCTGATGCCAGTGTGTATGGGGTTACCCTCAGTCCAAGGACTGATTGGATTGGATGGTGGCTAGCAAGAGCAGCAATTGTTTGGAAGCCATTATGTATATGAAGTGAATGCAAAAAAGACAAAACACAACAACAAAAACTACCAAGAGGTTGCCCTCTTGGTACCAGGTCTGCCTTCTGCCAAAAATAAGCAAACAGACGAATGAATGGATGAATCAATAACCAACCAGCCATCAAGCTGGCCCCTTCTCATAGCGACCCTGTACAGCAGAACAGAACTTGGAGTTTCGGCGGCTGTAAAGCTTTCCGGGAGCAGGCAGTCTCTATCTTTTTCCTGCAGAGTAGCCGGTGGGTTTGAACTGCTGACCCACTCCACCACCAGGGCTGCCCATCGAGTCTTTATCTGGCTTTGAAATATTTGAAGATACTTCTCATAGCATTCCCCTCCTCGGGGCTCTGGGCAGCCCCAGGGACCACATGCAGTAGCCTCCAGAAGGCCTAGGGGCCTGTGAAGAACATGCCCCCTAGTAGCCTGAGTCCCTGGGCCCAGCCAGTGGTCTGAGGCCTTGGGGGTTCTGGTCTGCTCAGGGAGAGGGTCCAAGGAACCCCCGGGTTCTGCCCTTGACCAGATAGTCAAACCAGGGGTGCATCCCTCTCTGCCCCTCCTCCACTGTCGCCCTTTGAGAGCCTGGTGGACGGTCCCATTGTCCCTCAGGCAGACCTGCTCGGATGAACGGCCCTGACAGATGGATTCACACGGAGTTGGAGTGGGCTAGTAGGGTTTACAGTCCTTTCCAGGGGGATTTTATGTAAACAGACAAGGATTGAAGTTTGTGTCAGTCCGGGTAGACTAGAGAAACAAATTCATAGACACACACTCATGTGGATAAGAAAGAGCTTTATATACAAGAGCAGTTGAATATTGAGAAAACATCCCAACCCAGTCCAGATCCAGTCCATGAGTCTGATATTGGCCCATATGTCCGATAACAATCTATAAAGTCCTCTTCTGACTCACGAAACACATGCAATGACACCAAACACAGGAAGATCACAGACCAGTGGGTGGGAAGTCTTGTGGATCCAGTGGCAGTGTAAGCATCTCAGCAGTGGTAGGGGTCTCTACGTGGCTTCTCCGGCTCCAGAGGTCTAGTGTAGCTCCATGTGTCTTGTCAGCTGAGAGTGGGCTCACGGAAATGAGCAGAGAGAGAGAGTCTCCCGAGTCCAAGGAGGAAATACAGGAGTTCCCAGAATCTCAGAAGGCCATGCCCACACAGAGACCTCATTGGCTGTGATCTGATTGACAGGCTAGACTCCACCTCTTCACTCATAATCCTCTCAAGTCCCAAATTGACACCAAATTATGTAACTACCACAAAGTTCTAAATGATGCCATTCCTGGGGGACCTGTTTGAGAGATGGAGCTTTGAGGATGGGGTGGGTCCCCCTACACTTGCAGGGGAGCAGACCTCATACAATTATCCTGTTGGGGACCCCTGTGCGTCTACCTGGGTTCACCCTGCTCATTCAAACTTGCTCTAGGCTGCTGGACCTCGGGTGGGGGTGGGACGTGGGAGGTGGGGAGGGGGGAGTACCCCTGCTTTGTTTGGCTTCCTGACCCCAAGTGCCCTCTTTCTCAGCCCCTCTAGGTTCTACCCCATGCCCCGAAGGATCCCAGAATACTATGGACCCTATACCCCGCAGTACCCGGACGATTACCAGTACTACCCCCCGGGCGTGCGGCCGGACAGCATCTGTTCCATGCCCGCCTACGATCGCATCAGCCCGTCCTGGGCCCTGGAGGACAAGCGCCACTCCTTCCGCAACGGGGGCGGGGCTGCCTACCAGCTGCGGGAGTGGAAGGAGTCCTCCGGCTACGGGCGGCAGGACGGCACCGTCTGGATCCCCAGCCCCTCCCGGCAGCCCGTCTATTACGACGAGCTGGACGCTGCCTCGGGCTCGCTGCGCCGTCTGTCCCTGCAGCCCCGCTCCCACTCCGTGCCCCGCTCGCCCAGCCAGGGCTCCTACAGCCGCGCCCGCATTTACTCCCCGGCCCGCTCACCCAGCGCCCGCTTTGAGCGGCTGCCACCCCGCAGCGAGGACATCTACGCAGACCCCGCCGCCTACGTCATGCGACGATCCATCAGTTCCCCCAAGGTGAGCTGCTGCCAGCCTGCCCCTCGTTGGCCACCTGCCGGGTCCCTAGAGCCTCAGCAGACGGAGAGGCTGGCGCACCCAGGCCACAGGAGGACCAAGGATGCTGACCAGGGGCCCACTGGCTCACAAGAGGGGCCTGGGGCCATCCAAAAGGAGACTTCTTTGTAGGCATTTCCCAGACTAGGCTGTCTCTAAGAGGGGACACGCAGCTGGCCACAGAAGCTGCTGTCCACTGTACTTTAGGGTCTTCTCTGACCTCTCACTGCAGATTGTGGGGATGTCTGTGTCCCAGCCAGACCCTTCACCTCTCCACTTCCCTTTCTCTTCTAGTATGATTACCTGGGAGACAGGCGGCCAGTCCCTGCAGGACTGTTCCCCTACAACTACCCACCATCCCCCACGATCCACGATAAGATGGTACGTCCTCTCCTCCCTCTCCGCCCCTCTATGCTCCCACCCAGAACTGGAGCAGACCCAGCCCTGCTGGTTCTCTGCAGGGTCTGGGTACCTCCTCCCTCCTGGGGGGCACACCCTACCACCCATTCTCCCCCTGTGCCAGAGCAGGAACAAAATCAAGATCAAGGGGCACACACTGCCCTGGTCCTCCACACCTTAGCACAGCTGCCACCCACCCACCCCCCAACCCCCTCCAGGGGGCTGGAGAAGGAACCTGGTTTTGGGGGGGGGGGGCAGAGGGTGCTTAGATGATGGGCTGGGAAGAAAAATCTCCTAGCAACAGGTCAGATCCTGTAGACCACTCCACTTTCACTCCTTCCCCTGATGCATCCCTTTCATAGGGGTCCACTGTAGGTGAAGGACGAGGAAGATGCTCCTTATTGCACCGCCCCCTCTCCTCTCCCCGTTCCACCCATGTCTCTGCTTGGAATTCTTCGGTTCTCCGAATTGTGGCCTCTCTCTACCTGGAGAACCGACACAGCTGGCTCCACCTGGGCAGGATGGGGAGAGAGAAACACTGGTGACAAGAATCCCTGTCCCCAAGGGCCTGCAGCTCACCCCCTCCCTGCACATGATTCGGTAGGCAGGCAGGTGGAGGAGGCCTTGACAGGCAGTGTGTACAGGCTGCAGCCCCTCTCTCTCGCTCTCTCTCTCTCTCTCTCTCTCTCTCTCTGATTCTGCCAGCAGCCCAGCCCTAGAGCCTTAGCCTACAGTAAATGGCAGTGAATTTTTTCCAGAAAATGCAGACACCCCTTCCCCACCCCCACCCCCACCCCCACCCCCGTAAGAGGCACTGCCAAGAGCATTTCAGTGGTGCCTACATGCCCCCTCCCCTAGCTGGGAGTGTCCAGGAGAACTGGGACTGCCCGCAGCTTCACCCGTTTCCCTGCCCAGAATCCTCAGGGGCAAAGAGAGGCCTCCCTGTCCTCACCTGCTAACGGCTGTACTTCTTCTTCCTCCCCCGTTGTTGTTTTCTTTTGTTGTGTTCCTGTTTGTTTGTGTTGCTGTTTGGCCTATTGGCCTCGGGCTCCGGGTAGGATGAACTTTTAGACCTTCAGTTGCAAAGAAACCTAGAGTATTTGGATCAGCAGGTAGGCAGAGCTGGTGCCCCATGCCATCCCACTGCCTCCCCCCATCATGCCTCCTTGCCCCCTTCCCAGCCCTCCTCCTCCATCCATTGCACAACCTGGGCTGGCACAACGCAGCGGCTTGTATTTCGGTTTGCTCCTTCTCACCCCTTCTCTTCAAAGCCCTTTCGGGCAGCTGGGCGTTTCCTGGGGAAAGGAGAATAAGAAATGACCACATGAATAATGAATGCCACCTCATATCTCACCAGCTTTCAGCCCAGATGGAGCTACCCCCGGGAGGCAGGTGGGAATTTGCATTTTTGCTGGAGAGGAAGGGATGTGTGTGTGTGTGTGGTGTGGGGAGCAGAGGTGGAGGGGGGTGGGGAGCTCTGTGTTAAGGTCTAAAATGCTAGGGCTTTCGCTCAGCCTCAGTCCAAGAGATTATTCTAGCATATTCCAGAGATCACTCAAGGCCATACTTCATAAACGGAGGTCTCTCGGCCTGCCCGGGGATGATTTTAAAGCAGTTTGAACCCCATGTGTCCGTCAGCTCCTCTGCAAACCCTCTTGCATACACAGCTCACGAGCTCTCAAGAACCCAGCACGGTCGACCCAGTGGGCATGACCCGCCCAGTTTTGCAAATAAGGAACAGGAAGAGGCAGTGGCCGCTCCCAAGTCATATTGCTAATGTGCCACAGAGGGGAATGGCTGCTGGCCTTCCCACGGGAGCACACAGCCCTCTGTTCCGCCCTGTGCTACGAGCCATGAGGGGTGCAGAAGTGCGTGCCTTTGTCCTGGGAGGCAGCCTGGGGTGGTGGAGATAACAATAATAACAGCAGCAACCAGGTCCCCCCCAAAAAAAAACGATGGGGTGGGCAGGCATCTCAGAGAGCTCCAGTCAGCCCCTCAGTTTCCTCTCTGCCTTAGGCGCTTTTGAGCAGTTTACAGATTCTAACCCATTTCACGTTTTCTCACCACCTGACCTGGTGTAGATCTCGTAGTTACCCTCCAGTTCACAGCTGAGGATGCAAAGGCATAAACCAAAAAACCACCAAGCCCCCCCGGCCCTTGGTGACTCCATACAGCGTGTTGGAGATCCGATCTTTTTTGACAAGGTAGTTTAAGCAGTCTTCCTGGCAGATGCTTCACGTATGAGCGCACCCCGTATGAGTGCACCCCGAATCGTCCAGTCATCCGAAGGAGAGCTGCACCATCACCACCACAACCGATTTCTGAACATTTTCTTCCCTTCTTGAACTTGTTGTTGCTAGCTCCCCATTTCCCCCAACCTCCCTGCCATGCCCCTAGGGGATTATCAATCCAGTTATTATCTTGCCCCTAGGGGATTATCATCAATCCAGTTACTCTCTCTGTAGATGTACCGGTCCTGGTTTCATCCACAACCAATTCCCCTAAACAAAAACGAGAAGCCAAGCAACAGCAGCAATGACCAGATAAAATGAAAAACATCAATCTGAACACATGTAGAAAATGTGAAAAAATGAAACAACTAGAAGATGGGTCACGAGGGAGATCAAATGCTAAAGCATAGACCTGACTTGACCTGCCACGATGGGCTCCCTGTCTGTGCATAAGGCTGTTCACCTCCCTGGACAATAGCCAGCGGGGACTCATGGGAGGCTTCATCCATGCGTGGACCCCACAAATGAATCTGGGGCTTCCACTGCTATCCATAGCCTTTTGCAAAGTGGGTGTTCAGAATTTAAGCTCTGATATTGAGACTAATCTTAATCGGAGCAGACAGCCTCCTCATTCTCACAAGGTTCAGCTAGTGAGTTTGAACTGCTGACCTTGCAGTTAGCAGCCCAAATGCCTACCCACAGTACCACCAGGGCATCTCACTGCCAGTGAGTCGATCAAAACTGATTATGACCCTTTCAGACAGTGTAAAACCACCCCATCGTGTTTTCAAGGCTGGAGTCTGGAAGCGGCCTGCCACATCTTTCTCCGGCAGAGCAGCTGGTGGGTTTGAACTGCTGACTTTTTGGTTAGCTGCCGCACACTTAATCACTGTGCCCCTAGGTTTCAGGGAGCCATTACTACATAGCTGTACTTTAATCAGCAGGAATCAAGGTAGTGTGCCAGGTAGTGGTGGGGTCAGGACTCAGACATTCTGCTTCCATTTTTCCAGTTTCTGGTCAGGGTCTGTCTGTGGCCTATGTGGGTGGCAGAAAAAGAGAAAGAATAGTTTCTATGGAGCTGATACTGCCTAATGATGACCATATGGGTGTCAAAGTAGAATTGTGCTCCATAGTTTTTTTTTTAATAGCTGTTTTTTTCTGGAAGTAGATCACCAGTCCTTTACTCCAGGGCACCTCAGGGTGACTTGAACATATAATCTTTCAGTTAGTTGTCAGGTACTTTAACTGTGTGCACCACCCCAGGGGGACACCAACTGGCCACCACCCACAATGCCTGACTGGCCAGGCATTCAGTAAAACACGTGGGGGAGGGGGAGTCCCTTCCTGGGGCTTCACACCTCAAAGAAGAGCTAGGCCATTGATCTAGGGGCTATAGAAATAATCTTTCAAGAGTTCCCCTCCTAGGTCAGGGGTCATCTTCTTACAAAGTCAGTGGGCATGATGAGAAGAATCTAGAAGCCATTGGTAGATGTCGGCACTCCAGTTCCAGCTCTGTCACATACAGGACTTAAAAAAAAAAGGTTGGAAATGTCATATCACCTCTCTGGGTCTTTGTGTTCTGCCTCATGAAGCGAACCGTGTAGAACCTGCGTTTTCTCCCTCGCAGGCCTCTTGGGAGATTCCGTGAGACTGTGCAGGAGGGCACTTGTCCGGCCTTGTTGATGGCGATGGCAGCCAGAAGTTTCCTCCTTCCCAAACTCACAGTGTTTCACAGAGCATCACTCCCTGTGCGGAGAGCTTTCTAGCATCTTCTAGCTTCTCCTCCACTTTGGAGAAACAGGAGGTGGCACAGGGAAATGCCTTAGAGGCAGGACCTAGAGCCCCCGCAGCCCCAGCATGGGTGGGGGCAGAGCAGGGGTGCACACACTGTGGGTCCTTGGTCGCTTTGGATCCGCTTGTTTGCGAGAGAGCGCGAGGTCAGTGGGTGCCCAAAAGGGCCCGTGTCTCCCTTGCCTTCTCAAAGCTTGGTGTGTTGGTCAAGCTGCCTGGTCCCTGTCTCTCTATAGACACATGTACCTCTCCACATACCGCACACACGTGTGTGCGTGTGCCATAGCCACAAACACAGACAGCAGACGTAAACATAGACACACATGTATACCACGCACCACACCATCTACATTTGTATCACATATGCAAATGGCCCTCCTACAATAAACACACCCACACACACACAGAATCCAAGAAGGGAGAAGTGGACTTGAGCTTGTGTCCTTCTGGACAATGTGGTTGATGTCTTTAACTCCCTTACAAAGAGTGTGCCAGCCTCATGCACCAAGTGCTCTTTGAAAAGCTGGTTCAATCACCATAGTAAAAAAAAAAAAAGTGGTAAAAAACCGGGATAAAGACCTTACGAAGGCTTTGAAAAAGGCTACCGCACTTCAGATGGGACCCTACTTGTTGATGTGCTGTAGCGCCCAGGCTGAGTGGGGGCTCCTGCTTAAAAAGGGGTCAGAGGGAGGAAGGGCAGTGTGGGTCCAACCAAGATTGGTTCAAGAGTGGCAGCAAACACAGGGAGCTCCTCCCTGCGACCCCTACAAGCTCTTCCCCAAGACGCCTCCATCTCCCCTCCCCTCGCTCACTTCCCCTCCCAACAGACCTGCTCACCGCATGCACCCCCGCTGCCTTCTGCTGCCCTCTGCTTTGGAACAGTCGCTGCCTTCTGCTGCCCTCTCCTTTGGGACAGTCGAGTTAAAGGGACACAGTATAGGGCACCCCATCCCATTGGCTTTGGGATGTCCTCGCCCTGGAGCCAGCGGGGAAATGACGGCATTTCTGCGTGTTTTGGTTGGCCTGCCTTCTCCCTGCCTCACCCCTCTCTCCCTCCCCATCCCTCCTCCCTGCCCGCCCCCACCTCTCTCTTCCTTTGTTTTGTCATCTGACCAATAGCCTTTCCCAGCACGCTAACAAGTGGAAAGCAGTGTTCCAACAGCTGACGTCCCTTTAACGTGACTCGCTTGGTCTGGCCCCTTTGTCCGCTCCCTAGCATCACCCAAGAGCGTCATGGATGCTTCCAGCCCAGCTCTGGAAACCCTGCCTAGCCATCCTTCCTACTCTAGCACCAAGGGCTTGGGCAGGGCGCAGGGAGAGGGGCCTGCCCCCATTTGTTGGTGATGATCTGGCCAGAGAGCGGGCCCCAGGTTTTCTTTTCAAATGAATTCAGATTCGAGGAGATGAGCCTTTTCCGACTGCTGCTACCACTTTGGACCAGAGCAGTGTGAGAAAGACAGCAACCACCCTGGCCTAAGAGCGCGAGCCCCCCAACCGCCAAGCACCCAGGGGACGTGTCAGTGGTCAGGGGCCTCTTTACTGCATGGTGGCCTCGCAGCTCCATTCTGGGCCTTTCCCCAGGGACAGCTCCAGTGCTGGCCCTGAGCTAGGTTGCCAGGGCCCAGCTGGGTGAGGCCGTACTGAGGGCGCCGGAGGCTCCTGAAGGAGCTGCCATTCCTGTTTCCTGGACCCAGCACAGGCGGGTTTGTGCAGGGGGGCGGTGTGCGTGCGTCTGAGTTTGAATCGTGCGTCCCTCCCTCTGCTGCAGATGAGTGACAGCGAGACTCTCATCAGCATGGTGAACCGCATGGTGGGAAACTCTTCCCCCAGGGCCCAACTGTTCATGCAAGTAAGACCTCTGCCTGGCAGCCAGCATGGTCACTGTCGATACCATCTCAGCTGCTTGTGCATGGCCACTCAGCCCATCCCGGGTGGGCTTGCTCCACCTAGCCCACTCACCTGCCAGGCCTCGCCTCCCTGGGGCAGCCTCGGTCTCGTCTCTCTCCTTCACCTCACTGTGCCTCTTCATTCGTCATGTTCAAGGGTAAACCCAAGTCCCATTGTCCAAGCGTCCACACCCTACCCACCCACCCAAAAAAAAAAAGACAGTGCCAACATCGCATGTCGTGCTGGGGACCACAGATTGGCTTTTTCACATCCAGGCCTCCGACTGTCTGTCTACTGTCTTCTTGACCGTCACTGTCAAGGCCGAGGGGGTCAGGGGCGTGAGGTGGGGCCCACAGGTGGATAGAAGGTGTTGCTGGTACTGGCTGGGCCTTCCAAGCTAGGCTGACTTTGTCAGATCCAGACGTGCTTCGGGATGGGGGCCCATCCCGGTTAAGGTGTGAACTTCTTCTCATGCTCTGTACCCGGGGCAGGCGTCCTCCAAGGTGTCTGACAGTCACTGTGACCAGACTCCCACGTCCGGGCCCAAACGCCCAGGAGGCTGGCCTCTGGGATGTCTCTCTCAGATCCCAGGGTTCAGAGACACGGGCCCTGCACAGAGCAGGTCTCTCCAGAACCAGCCGAGGACAATAGGACAAGTGGGCTGGCATCTTGGCTGGAAAGACACCCCCACCCCACCCCCAAGCTTCACAACCAGGGAAGGAGAATGACTTCTACTCAGGTCCCTAGAATGCAAGCCACCAGGGATGGCAGCCCATGGTCTCTGGCAGCAGGGGAGCAAGAGTGTGGTCCCGGCTCACCGGCCTCCGCGCCCTCCCCCGGCCCCTGCCGAGGTAACGGCCCTCGTATTCCTGCAGGTCCCTTCGTACCCAGAAGTCTTCCGGGACAGCGTCCACACCTACAAGCTAAATGAGCAAGATACGGATGTAAGAGCCGCTCCCCCTGCCCCTCTGTCCGTCCATCCTGCTGTCTCGCTCCTCCGTGCTCTCCCTCCTCTATCCACCTGTCTCCTCTGGTGGTTCCTGTCTGCCCCCACCATGCAGACAGCCTTCTGATTCCTCCCTCCTCATCCTCTTCCCCCCTTCCCACGCTGGCTCTCTGTGTTTCTCCACTTATCCACAGGGTCCCAGACTTGGTGGGGAGATAACTCACACAGGCTACCCTGTGCCCAGCGGTGGCATTAGGCCTTGCAGGTCCCTAAGGAGAAGAGACTGGTCCCACCCCTGCCCTCAGGGAGCAGCAGGGGGCGGGGGGGAGATGCCACCTGGCAGCAGGTGGCAGCATATGATCATACATAATAAATGGGACCGACAATTGGGTGTTCAGAAGCGCTGGGCATGAGAGCCCGTGGGCTGGTGAGTCAGGGACAACCAGGTCGCGGGGGGCCAGGGCCGGAAGTTACAAGGCCTCAGGTGAGCTGTGGCTGAGAAACGAAGGACAAAGGGGTATATGTGAGAGAGGCCGACAGGATGGAAGTGCAGGTGCAGAGAAGCACATGTCTGTGCCCCAAAGAGAAGGTGTGGCTTCCCCCGAGTCCCAGCGCCTGGCCTTGGGTGATGATCTGCTCTGCAGGTCTGGGAAAGGTTCATCCCGAGGAGACCAGACCCCGCAGGGACCTGAGGGCCAGAGGGAGCAGAAGAGAGCAGGCACCTGTGGACGGAAGGACCAGCTCACACTGTCCACTGCCCTTGCTAAGACTGCTTGTTCAGACACGGCACGTCCTCTGACCCTCACTGACCCAGCAGCCATGCCCCCTCTCTCTCCCCAACCCTTTGTGAGTGGAAACCCCCAGGAGGATATGGGCTGCCCTGTCCCCTGACCTCCTACTCACATCCTCAGAGAGGAAGCCCCTCTCCCCTCCTAATGGGAGCTGGCCGGTCTCCCCTCCCCCGATGGAGACCCACTCACCTGCTCCCAGGAGCCCGCACAAGTGTGTTCCCCCCCACAGTCAAGGGGAAGGCCCAGGGCCCCTCAGCAGGGAGAGGAGGAGGCATCCAGAGGCCAGGCCCTGCCACCCCAAGTCCCAGCCCTTCACCCCCTCTCTTCTCTCCCCCCTCTCCTCTCTCGGGACCCCAGAAGCTGCTGGGCAAACTCTGTGAGCAGAACAAGGTGGTGAGGGAGCAGGACCGGCTGGTGCAGCAGCTCCGGGCGGAGAAGGTGAGCCAGGGTGGCCTCTGTCTTTGGCCAGTGGGCCGTTGGGTGCGGCTTGAAGTGGGTCCCCAGCTGCTCTCTCAGGCCCTCCTTCCACTCCCACCCCGCCCCTGTCAACACAGCTGGGGTTCCCGTAGCCAGCGTGAGGTCCATCTCCACCACACTGCCTGGTGGACCCTCAGGCTTCTCAGAGAGGGTTCTAGGGGTGGGGGCTGGTGGCTTGCTCACAGCTGGCCCCTCCCCCTCTTCTCAGGAGAGCCTGGAAAGTGCCTTGATGGGAACCCACCAGGAGCTGGAGATGTTTGGGAGCCAGCCCGCGTACCCCGAGAAGCTGCTGCACAAGAAGGAATCGCTGCAAAACCAGCTCATCCACATCCGGGTGGAGCTGTCTCAGGCCACCACGGTACCCTGGCCCTGGCCCCTCCCTCCCAGACCGGCCAGCCTGGTGGGGGGCACACAGCAGAGCCCATCACGCAACCCGCAGAGGGACAAGCGTAGCCACCTGACCCTTCTCCCCGGCCCATACACCCCAAGACAAGGCCGCTTATGACCTGGGGTGCTCGGACACCTTGCAGCCCGCTCTGTCCTCTCGGGTCCCAGAGGGAAGGCTGCCGGCTTGGCCATTCCTGGCAGGGACGGGCAGCTTCACCAGCCCATGCTGCATGGGTAATAGCTGTGAGAGGCAGCCACACAGGCCCCAGGGAAAGGTGGCCCAGAAAGGGGGGTGGTCTCCAGTTTCAGAGAGCAGGCATCCCCTTCAGGCAGCATGCTTTGTCTGCCCACCCCCACCACACTTTTCCTCCAATGTGGGGAGAACAAAGGGAGAGTGGGGTCCCTAGGCGGGGGTTGGGGGGGCGTGACTAAGGCACAGCAGATGCTAAACAGAAAGGTCGGAGGGTCATGCCCACCCAGTGGCGCCTCAGAAGAAAGCCCTGGCAGTCAACTTGCAAAAAACGGGCCCCTGGAGACCCTGTGGGGTGCAGTTCTGCCCTGACGCACAGCAGGGTCACCATCGACGCCACACAGCTGGTTTCTATGGGGTTTGTCTACGGACCCAGAGAGGGTCTTTATTGGGTTTGTGATCACCCACCAAAGGGGATAGGGGCATGCTGGCACGGCCATTGCTGTTGCCCTTGTGTAAGGCCAGTGTCTGATGCTTCATCTGAGTGTCTCAGCCCTGAGCCCCGATCCCTTGCCCCTCCCACCACCACCCCACCTCTCTCCGGACCCCTTCCTAGGACGGGGGTGCTGCTTTGTCGCAGGCCGCCTCCTCAGCCTGACCCCCCCTCCGCCCCCCCAGGCCCTGGCTAGCAGCACCATGGAGTACGAGAGCCTGGAGTCCGATGTCTCCACCCTGCACGATGACCTCTGGGAGCAGCTCAATTTGGACATCCAGGTGAAGGGGGACCCAGGCCCCAGAGGGTTGGTCAGTGTGTGGTCTGGGCCCTGCTCCCTCCAGACTGGCTTCCTTCCTCAGCACGGAGAGGGCCGCCCCTGGAACCAGGAGTTGGTCCTGAGACTGTAGAAGAGGCTGAGGACCACTGAGAACAGACAGTCTGTTTCGGGGTGAGGGTGATATGGGGTTCTTGAGTTCTGTGAGTTCCCCCTGGGAAGGAGCTCATGGGAAGGCTGAGGTTAGGCGTGTGGGTGTACCTGGGGCCCTGGGTGTGCAAACCATGAGTGCGCTCGGCTGCGGCAGTTCAAGCTCGGCTGCGGCAGTTCAAGTCCACCCACCGGTGCCAGGGAAGAAAGGCCAGGTGATCTCCTTCCGAGAAAGCCGCCGCTGGGCGCCAGCTCTGCTCCACACACGTGTGCTGGCATTACATCACGGAGCAAGTTTTTGTTTTCTTTAAATAGAGGCACAGATAGCACAGGTGTCCGTGGGAGAGAGCTGAGAATGTCAAGCCAGGAAAGAGACTTTCCGTGCGGGGCAAGGATGGAACTGGGCAGCGTGGAGGCCTGAGGTTGGAGGCTGGGCACGTTGGCCCCTGGGGCATTCATCGTTTTTTGCGCCTGCCTCTTCTGGACCCAGGCCCTGCCGCTTCTCTAACTTGGTTCACAAGCCCCATCTCTGGGAAGCAAAGGCCAAGCCGCACCTTACACCCAGGTGCTGCAGGAGGTGGGGCGTGCTGCCGGGAAGAGCACAGGTGGTTGCTCTGCTCCTTCGGAAGCAGGTGGTCTGGGGCGGGGCTCTCCTCCAGGTCTCTGAAGTGGCCTGGCCGCTGCTGCTGGGTCTCCAGGGGTGGCGCTGCAGCCGCAGTGAGGTCCAGTGGGCCAGGCCGTCAGCACCGGGCTGGGCACGGCGATGCTAAAGGAACGTCCCTGTTCAAAGAGCGGAACTCAGGAGTCTATGAGCAGGGCTGGGTGTGGGTGCAAAGTACACAAGGGCCTTTGGGGTGTGAAGAAGCACAGGGACCCGGAAGCTCTTGCTTCCCCGCTGGGAACTAGGCTGCCATAAAGCATCCACTTAGAGGAGCCCCCAGGCGCAGCCCAGCCTCATAGCCTTGTGAGATGCAGAGGACCTTCTGCACCTTCTCCTGGTTCTGAGGTCACGTGTTTTCATCGCAAGGGTCCTTGGCTGTGACAGCAGAGCCCCCTCCTCTGGCAGTTCCAGAACCCTGTGCACTAGGTGTTGGGGACGCAGGGGACGGATGGAGGGCTGTCCTGCAAAGAGTGTGTGCATAGGTGATTGTGAGAGTGCAAATGTATGTGTGGGTGTGAGGAGTGAGTGTGCATGTGTGAGTGCATGTGTGTGAATGTGTGTGTGTTGTGAGTGTGTGTATGTGTGTGAGTGTGTGTGTGTGTATGCTGTGAATGTATGTGTGACTGAGTGTGTATGTGTGTGAGTGGGTGGCTGTGAGAGTGTGAATGGGTGCGTGTGTGTGTGTGTGTGTGTGTGTGTGTCTGGCTGGCTGGCTCCCGCTGGTCCCGGGGCTGTGTTGTAGAGCTGGGTGCTCGGGCTGAGGGAGCAGGCCCAGGGGTGCGGCAGGCTTTGTTCCTGACGGGCTCTGTGCTGCTGCTGCCACTGCAGAATGAGGCGCTCAGCCGGCAGATCCAGAAGGAGATCTGGCGGATCCAGGACGTGATGGAGGGGCTGAGGAAGAACAACCCGTCTCGGGGCACCGACACGGCCAAGCACAGAGGTGGGCGCCCCACCCCTAACTCACCCACGGGCCCCTCCCCAGGCCCTCACAGCCATCTCGGGGCACCAGCATGTTCCCCAGGTTCCTAGGTGGTGGGTGGGACTCCCCCTCCCACACCTGGACCAGCTGTACCACCTCGATCCTCTAGCCGGGCCTCCAGGGCCCCAGTGCTCGGCGGTCTTGGGCTCGGCATCCCCTTGCAGCCCGGGAATCTCAGGCTGCCTTTCCTTACAGCTTAGAGCAGTGGTTCTCAACCTTCCTAATGCCGACACCCTTTCATACAGTTCCTCATGTGGTGGTGACCCCCAACCGTAACATTATTTTTGTTGCTACTTCATCACTGTCATTTAGGGTATTCGGCCCCAAAAGGGGTCAAGACCCACAGGTTGAGAATCACCCACAGGTTGAGAATCGCTGGCTTAGAGCAACACTGTCATGTCCGTCGGCCACCCTGCCTGCCCGGCATACCACTCACTAGTCAGCCTGTGACCTCCGCACCGGCCCCATAACCCTCAGTACCGGAATAGGTTCACCCAACTCCGTGGTGCCCACTCTGACACAGCCTGGCCCCCACTCCCGCCCTCATCTCTCCCTGCTTCTCTGTCTTCCAAGGAGGACCGGGGACCTCCGCGACCTACAGCTCCAACAGCCCCGCCAGCCCGCTCAGCTCCGCCAGCCTCACCAGCCCCCTGAGCCCCTTTTCACTGGTCTCTGGCTCTCAGGGGTCCCCCACCAAGCCCGGGTCCAATGAGGTAAGCAGAGAAGCTGGAGTAGAAGGTAGGTGGGGGAGGGGAGGGGCAGGATACTCCTTTGCCTGAAACCACGTACAGTCTGAGGCCCGAGTCTCTTGTCCCCAGCGGTGCCCGGTCCTAACACGTTGGCTTTCTGTTGTCCTCACCCCCAAGCCTCCCCCCAGTTCTGTGACCCTGCCTCCAGCCGTCCCTCTGCTCATTCTCACCTCCACCTCTCTTCTCCGGCGTCTCTGCAGGGCGGGCGGGGTGGGTATGAGGCCCCAGCAGAGAGATGCGCAGGCGACCGGATTCTCCCTCAAGAAGTCCAGAAACTCAGCTCTGTGGCCTGGCAGTGTATGCCTCGGTGTGGTGCCAGAGGGTCCCAGACGCCCTGGTGGCCCAAAGAGGGAGGTGGGGGGAAGTCAGCGACAGCGGACAGAGTGAGGACTGAACCTGGGTGGGTAACGTGGCACTGGTCACAGTAGCCCAAAGGTAGAAGCTACCTCATTGTCCATCGGTGGATGGATGTGTAAAAGGTGGTCTGTACGCCCGCTGGGTACTACTGCTCAGCCGTCACGAGAAACACAGGCCTGAGAGGTGAGGCCGTGGGCACGGACCCGGAAGACCCGGCCACATGAGTGGGACCCCGCAGGACAGACACTGGGCGGTCTCAAGCACATAAAAAGAACAAGGTTACACGAATGTGCAGAGACCAGAGTGTATTGGGGGGGGTGGAGGGGGTCACCAGAAGGGGCAGGGTTAATGAGAGGAGGGGTCATTGCTTGGGACACCGTGTGCTTCTGTTTGGGGACATGGAAGACGCAGCCAGAACGAGGGGTGATGGCCCCTGGACCTGAGGACCCGGCCATTGCGTGGTAATGCCTGAAAAATGCTGACTCGGCGAAGGTTGTGCCGTGTCTCTGTGTGCCCCAACCGAGCAGAGGGCCTGGGTCTCAGGAGCAAGAGAGGAGGGCTGCCGGCAGGCGGGACTGTGGGAGCACAGCTAGAGGGGTGGGAACACGGGCAGGACCACGATGAGAAAACGAGGGAACGCTTTGGAGAAACGTGTCCAGGCGAGTTGAGGAGGGCCCTGCAGGCCAGGCGAAGGGTCAGCTGTGGGGCTCTTGGTCCATCCAGCCCAGGGTGGGCATCCAGTGGCCCAGCGGTGTTGTCTCTGCCTCCTGCTAACCTTGATGTCTCCTGTTCTCACAGCGCTGCGCTCTTCCTCCTAACGCTCTGGCTTCTGTCTGCCTCAGGAACCTGGCCCGCCTCGGCCTCCCCTCCCCAAAGCCTACGTCCCCCTGGAGTCTCCTCCCACCGTCCCTCCACTCCCTAGTGAAAGCCGCTTCTGGCCATACCCCAACTCCCCTTCCTGGCACCGCAGTGGCGAGCCAGCCAGGGGTCAGGTACCCAGCACCCTTGGTTCCTGGAGGGTGGGGGCAGGGACGCAGGCAAAGGGTACTAGAGTCACACCCCCACCCCCAGCTGACCCCTGGACTACAAGTGGGATGGTGGAGACAAGGCACGCGGTTCTCTTTTCCCTCTCTTCTTTCTGTGGGCAGTGGGCACACGACTTGTTGCCCTGCTCACAGGCAGCCAATGGGTGGGGGTGGCGGTGGCGGCATGCCGCACCTCTGTCCTCTGTCAGCCTGACCAGCCAGTTGAGATGGAATGACCCCACCAGGGCCATCCCAGTCCCTTCCTGTCTTACCCACCTCTGACTCCAACCTTCCTGTGCTCGGCCTTGTCTCCGGGCCCCCTCCAGGCAGCAGGAACCCCTGGCGTGCAGGGGCAGGGGCTCATCTCTCCCCTCTTGCCTGGATCCCTCGCCATGATTCCAGAAAGATGTGCAAAATTAGGCTCGGAAGATGTTATGTAATGAGTAGCAAGAGCCCTGTGCCTACACTTAGGGAGAGCCAGATTCTCACCTGTCCTCAGCTCCTGATGCATTTGTACAGCCCTTGAGAGTCTGCCAGGTGAGGTGGGCGGAGCAGCTGGGATTACCTTAGTTTGGCAGACTTACCTGTCTTCTCTGTGCCCAACTGCCACTGAGGCGATTGGGACTCAGAGCGACCCCTGGACGGTGACTGAGGCTGTCGATCTTTCCTGGGAGCAGACAGCCTTCATCTTTCTCCTGAGCAAAGGTTGGGGAGTTTGCACCTCTGCCCTGTGGTTAGCCGTTCACCAAGGACCTGGCCATTCCCCCTGGGCTCCTGTGTAGCTGGGCTGTGAACTGAACTCTCTGACTTCTGGTCGAGTCTCTTGAGTGAGACTGAAATTCCCCGGCTGTACGATGAGCAAGCACTGCTTGGCTTACACCTGAGGTCCTTTCTGGTCTCATGAATCAGACTCCCCTTTTGCTCCCCGCTAAATTCTGGTTCCCAGACTCCCTGGGTTCTCTTTAATCATGTCTTAGTGGGGAGCCGGAGAGACCACTGGTCTTGGAGCCCCCTCCACTGGCTGTCCCATGACTCTGACCCTGTGCTGTCCAGTGCCTGCTCAGAAAGCAGGTTGGGTTGAGGAACAGTTGCCTCTGGGCCCTGACACCTTACTTTCCCAGCCCTGGCCAGCCTTCCAATGCCCCGGTGGGGCGTCTCCAGCACATCCCACCCCCTTCCCAAGTAATGCAGGTAGCATTTCCCTGTGCCCCGTGTTGCCAAGGGTTTGAGCTTCAACCATTGTAAACCAGAGAAACATGACCAGGGGCCAAATGCCCACTAGTCACTCGGGCATCAACCACTTCTCATCTGTTTCTTCCCAGCCCAAGGCCAACTATGAGCCGAGCAAGAAAGACCCCCATCCGACATCGCCCCTGGACACCCCTAGAGATCTCGGTCTTGTGCCTACCAGGCAGGAGGTGGAGGCAGACAAACAGGCAGCTCTTAACAAAGGTATTTCCTGCCCCCTCCTCCCTCAAATCAGGGCCCAGGGGAAGGAGGGGCTCTGAGGGCTCAGTTCACGCCCAGCGCCCAGCCAGCGGACCTGCCTGGGGCCTGGTGTCTCTCTCTCTCTGAGAAGCAGCCTCTGTCTCCATCCAGTTGGCATTGTGCCCCCTCGAACAAAGTCGCCCGCTGATGAGGAGGGGACCCCCAAAGCAGTGGTGAGGAGGAGTGCCCACGGGCTCACCAATGGACTGGCCTCGCGGGTAAGTACACGCAGCCTCCAGGGGCCTGTGTCGACCGGCCGTCTGTCTGTCTGCCACAGTTCTGGAACCCATAGGCAGGACAAGGAGGGGAGGGGCAGCCGGGCCCCAGAAACTGCTCCTTCAGGGGGACACAGCAAGGGACAAAGAAAGCATGCATGACAGCCATGCAGGGGCACACAGCATCGTTGTTAGAGCGCGCCAGTCGCTGCCTGGCAAAGGAGAGACTGCAGCCAGCCTCGGTGGTCAGTCTAATGTGCTGACCCAAGGCAGTGGCTTAGTCTCCTTCACCGACTGAAGGGCTGCAAACGGAGAGTGAACTTCTGCTCACAAGTCTGAGGCCACGCGCGGCAGGGCTGGTACCTTCGGGGGTGCTCCGAGGGAGCATCTGTTCGGAGCCCTCTCCTGGCTTCTGGTGGTTGCTGCCTGCAGTCCCTGGTGTCCTTGACTTGCCAACTTCTCCAGCGCACGCCACTCTTCGCCGCTGTCTGCACAGGGCCTCCTGCCCTGGCTGTCGCCTTTTGTTTGTATGGCACACCCTTATCCTGGATGATCTCCTCTTGAGTGTCTGAATTCCAAAACAGCTGCAAAGACCCTATTTCCAAACCAGCCCCTCTTTACGGGGACTGGAAGTCAGGGTCCTCTGTTCTACACCCCGGAGTCTGCCCTGTGGCGTCCGCAGTAAAAGTCTGCTTCCCACTGGGCAAACACATTGATCCCGTTCCAATGCTCCCACCCCTTTCAATCTCAACCCAGAACAGTATGGACTGTGAATCAAACATCTCATTTCAACAGCACCGCCTCACCAGTCCCACACAATCGACATCCAGTACATGTGTGATCCATGTCGGGACAATATTCCCCACCAGTGGACCCGGGAAACTCAAGAACAAGTTGTCTGCTTCCAAAATACAATGAGGGAACAGACAGGGGATAGACAATCCCATTCCAAGAGGGAGAAAATGGAAGAAATAAAGGGATTACCAATCCCAAGCAAGTTTAAATTTTAGCATAGGAAATGCCACGGAGCTTCAAGGCCTGAGAATAATTTTCTGATGCTGTGGGTGTTTGAGCTGCGGGCGCCAGCTGCCTCGCTCGACAACGCCTCTGCGGTTGCAGCACCCCGAGAGCCTTGTCCCCATGGCCTACACTGCCCCGTGGAAGGAGCGCATATGTCGCAGTTGGCTTTCTCTAGGAACCCATTGCATGCCTATAGACTACCGAGGCCCAACCACTCCTGGTCATTCCATCTCTATTTGAGTCCAAGCTGGCAGAGATATTGCTGCTCTGCCATTCTTAACAACCACGTGGGGTCTCCTGTGTATGCCATGGGGACCCAGGCCAGCCCAGATCCCTGCTGGACAGCCCGTCTCTGACCCCGGCTTCTGAGGCTGGACCCGTGAATCTCTGCAGCGAGCAGTTGCCCAGACACGTCGGGCCCACTGTGGGACACGCTTTCTCAACAGCGCGTTTCCTAATTCTGGAGTTTCAAAAGTCTGGACAGTCTGAGAACCTCCTACATCAGATACTGGTTCTTTTCTTTTTGCTTAAGAATCCTTTCCTTCCATGTTCTCTGTCCACATTTTGCTATAAGCAGTAAGAAGGAACCATGATGCACCATTAACACTTTGCTGGGAAACCTCCCTAGATGATTCATTCATTATTAAGTTCATCGTTTATCAGTTCTGATGTGCATCTCACAAGGATCACGTTTCTTCCATGTCCTAAAGCCTGTTTCTCATGGTCTTCTATGACCACGACAACCTGTAGTCTTCATGTTTCTTCCAGTATTCTATTCTTGCTCATACGTGCATCGCCCAAGAGGAGAAAACACCTCTGTTCTGCTTGTCACGCTCTCTGCACCTCACCGGAGCAGCCCTGCACGTCCCTATCCGTACCATCTCTTTTCAGCAATCTAGGCTTTTTCTGATGCCTCAGAATTCTTCCAGACTCCACTCTCTTCCAAATCCCAAAGTCATGGTCACGTTTCGTGGTGTTTGCTCCATCGCACCTCACTTCCCAAGCCCTGGATCTGCATGTGTTTCATAAGCTGCCATAACAACTTTCTACCAGCTCGGGGGCTTAAAGAAGCAGAAGTTCATTGCCTCACAGCTGTGGGGCCAGAAGTCCAAGCCTTAGGGTACTTGTTCCATCAGGAGGCTCAGAAGGAGACTCTAGTCCACACCTTTCTCCTGTTTCTCGGGGTTGCTGGCCATCAGGGCATTCCTTAAAACACATACACACACACACACACACACACACACACACACACGTCACTCCAGTCTCTGCCTCCGTCCTCCCAGGGACTTCTTCTCCATGTGTCTTTTTCCTTCCTGCCTGCTATAGCCACCACCAGCCGCTTTTCGGGAGAAAGACTTGGCTTTCTGCTCCTGTAAAGAGTGGCAGTCTCAGAAACCCACAGGGGCAGTTCTACCCTGTCCTGTAGGGTCGCTGTGAGTCAGAATAGACTCGATGACAGTGTTTGGTTTGGGGTGATTTAACCCATTAGGAACCCCAGTGGCATAGTGAGTTACACATGAAACTGCTAACCACAAGGTCAGCAGTTTGAAACCACCAGCCGCTCCACAGGAGAAAGAGGAGGCTCTCTGCTCCCGTATAGAGTTACCGTCTCAGAAGCCCACAGGGACAGTTCTACTCTATCTTATAGGGTCCTTCTGAGTCCAAACTGACGCAGTGCAGGGCGCATTCAACCTATCAGAGGCCAGCTTCCCACAGGAGGGACATCTTCATGGCAATGGGCAGTGGCAAAGCTGGGGGCGCTGAGGCCCAGGTCAGCGCCCTTCTCTCTCCCTGCAGCAGGAGCGCCCGAAGAGCGCTGTGTTCCCGGGTGAGGGGAAGGCCAAGATGAGCGTGGAGGAGCAGATGGACCGCATGCGGCGGCACCAGAGCGGCTCTGTGAAGGAGAAGCGCAGGAGCCTGCAGCTCCCGGCCAGCCCGGCCCCTGACGCCAGCGCCCGGCCGACCTACAGAGTGGTATGGTCCTCCCGGCTGTCCACAGGGGTCAGCCTAGCAGGAGGCAACACTGCCCACCCTCAGTAGCTTTTCACTACTGGGCAGAAAAATTACTTCAACAAGTGTTTCCAGTTTGCCTTGACACAAACTCACAGAACAGAATGATGATTATATTTTATTGAATCATCAGGGGGGGAAAAAACCTAGTCAACAGAGAGATTAGTATGAAATCAACGGCCCGGAAGTAGCCTCTGCTTACCTGGGTTTCTAAGGGAGCCCTGGCAGCCCCATTGTTAACCTGCTTGGCTGCTATCCAGAGGCTCCGTGGTTGGAGCCCACCGTCTGCTCTGGGAGAGAAGGAGGAGGCACCCTGTTCCTGTCTCCATCTGCAGCCCTGGACCCGGGGCCAGCGGGCCCTCCTCCTCTGTCCTGCGGGGCTGCTGTGAGCTGGAACTGACTCGGTGGCCATGACTTTCCCCTAGAGCAGTGGTTCTCAACCTTCCTCACGCTGCAACCCTTTAATAATGCAGTTCCATACAATTATTTTCGTTGCTACTTCATCACTGTCATTTGCTACGGTTATGAACCGGGAAATCCCTGTGAAAGGTCGTTTGACCCCCAAAGGGGTGGGTACCCACAGGTTGAGAACCGCTGCTCTGGAGTGTCCTGCACTTGACCCTTGGCAGATCCACACTGCACAGCTCCAGGCAACGCCCAAGCCGCCTGCAGGTGGACTCAGTCAATCCTTTCAGTAGCCCCACCGTAATGGCCTTCCCTACATTAAGGAGCCCTTTAAGGTGGCATAGTGGTTACCTACTGGGCTATTAACCACAAAGGCAGTAGTTCGAAACCACCCGTCGCCCCTAAGGAGAAAAACGCGGCTTTCTATTTCTATAAACATACAGGGGCAGTTCTACCTTGTCCTGAAGGGTGGTTGTGAATCAGAATCAACCAGATGGCCATGCAGGTTTGGGGTTTTTTATGGGGGGTGGGGGGGTGGGATCTCTACTTTACAACTGGGAAAACAAAATCAAGAGGAACGAAATGATTCCAGGCCACACGGCTAAGTGACTGTGCCAGGACCAGCCCCAGGCACCGGCCTCATTTTCCTTTCTACTGAAGTTGAGAAATGCTGAAACACCGCAGTCCTTTAAGTGTACCTGCTCAGATGTGTACATCCCACCCGGGGGGCCAGAAAGTCTGTGACATGAAATGCCGAGAGACGGATACGAGACGACGTGGTTGGACGGACTGCCTAACTGTGCAGATAGGGGCTGTAGCCCACTGGGAGCGCCGGGTGCTGACGAGGGAGACGGACGGAGGGGCTGCTGCCTAAGGGCTCTGGAAGTGGGCCGGCTCTGGAGAGGCAGCATGGAGGGAGAGGAGCACCATCGTCCAGGGCAGGGAGGACCGCATGGTGAGGGCTGCCTGTTGCCACTGGTGGCAGTGGGGGTGCTGCTCGCAGTAGGACCTGAGGTCCTGCACGGCCATGACAGTGCTGCTCCCCCCACCCCCCAGGTGCGCCGCCACCGTAGCATCCACGAGGTGGACATCTCCAACCTGGAGGCAGCTCTGCGGGCAGAGGAGCCCGGCGGGCAGGCCTATGAGACGCCCCGGGAGGAGATCGCCCGGCTGCGTAAGACGGAGCTGGAGCCCCAGCACTATGACGTGGACATCAGCAAGGAGGTGCGGGCAGCCCGGCACAGAAGGGGGCATCTCCGGAAGACACCAGGCATGGATAGGGGTGGTGACCTCAGTGTCCCCTCTCCTGCAGCTCTGCACCCCGGACAAAGTCCTCATCCCCGAACGGTACCTGGACCTGGAGCCCGACACTCCCCTGAGCCCCGAGGAGCTGAAGGAGAAGCAGAAGAAGGTGGAACGGATTAAGACGCTCATTGCCAAATCCAGGTAACAGACCCAGGTGGCCCTCCACTTCCTCTGCCCACCCTGGTACTACCTAGGACACCTGAGGCACTGGGGACTCTGGGCCTCCCCAGGGGAGAACAGGATGAGACAGTGGCTGCAGGACACAGGCCGGGTCCAGGCACCTGGCAGGGGCGATGCTGCCCGTGCAGTGCCCCCAGACTGGCGGTGCCTGTGACGTGAGATTATCAGGCAAGCCTGAGGGCTTGCTCTCTGGTGACTTCTTCTCCCCGCCTTCGAGGCTGCCTGCTTGTTTACTTGAACCTATGGGCTCAATTGACAGCACCCCCAGCATGAGTTCTGTGAGCTCCTGGGGCCCAGCCCTCCCTCCGACCTCAGTCCGCAAGCTCCCCCCAGCCAGCTGGCCCCTCCTGCGCCCCCTCCATGTGTCTGTCTGTGCCTCTTCAGTATGCAGAACGTGGTGCCCGTCGGCGAGGGGGACTCTGTGGACATGCCCCAGGACTCGGAGAGCCAGCTGCAGGAGCAGGAGAAGCGGATTGAGATCTCCTGCGCCCTGGCCACCGAGGCCTCCCGCAGGGGCCGCATGCTGTCTGGTGAGAGGGGCTGGGCCTCGCTCTGCCAGGGAGGCCGGCTGACCAGGTGTAGGGGCGGATGCGCAGCGCTGAGTAGGGGCGAGGAACAGAGAGGTGCAGGGCCGGGACGATGCGGCTCTGGGCCAGGGTCATCTTTTATTGAGCACCAGGCACTGTGCTCGGCTTGGGGGTGGGCGGGCTGGGCAGTGGGGGGGACGCAGAGGGGCCAGAGTCACTGACAGCCAGGAGCTCAGGCTATGCTTGGTCAGGGAATTGGCCGAAGGCCTCGCAGGGAGCCCGGGGTGCCCTCTTGCCTGGGCAGGTCAGGGACAGGCCCAGAGAGGAGGTACTAACAGCTTGATTGGGCAAGAGAGAGGTAAGAGCACTGACAGGTGTGAAGGAAAGGTGGGTACATCCCTTCCCTTCCCGTTCTGACCCGATGAACAGGAGGAAACAAGAGAAGGCCGTGCCGACAGCCAAGGAGTTAAGCGTATAACAGAGCCACCACCATGGCTGCCTACCCCGCCCACCTTTGTGTGAAGGGACCCGTATGAGGAACTGACTTCACGGTGGTACCACAAGGGTTGGCACCTGTGCAGACCCCCGATGGGGTGGAAGCCCACAGGATTCCCTGCCTGGAATCCATGAGGCTGCACATGCACCTTGAAGAATGAGGTTCTTTAGGAATGGGAGGGTCGAAGGTAGAGGAAGGAGAGGGTTAAGTCATAGATCTTGGGAGATGGGCTATTTCCTTCTTCGACAGAGCAGGCAGTAAGGATCGAGAGGGAGAGTGGGGCCAAGGGCTTCGAAGGCATGGTCCCAAAGGATGGATTCCAGTGGGAGCCACGCTCTGAGACGGCCCTCGGTAGACAAGAGAGCCAGGTGTGTGGGCAGCAGTTACAGGTGGGCCCAGGTAAGATGAGATGGATGGCTAGGAGCCCAGGGAGGGAGGGTGGTCTGTGGCTGGTGATGATGGAAGCAGGTCAAAAAGGGTTCCAATCCCGGCTCTCCGAGGCTGCATTTCCTCATCTCCGTAAAATTCAGATGAAAACCGCTGCCTCCTCTTCCGGCAGGAGGAGGCTCAGAGCTGCATGTGCTAAGCACCTAGCCCAGTGCCTGGCTTGTAGTACGCGCTCACTAACAGCGCTAGCCTGCTGACGTCCCAGCCCGCGTCCTAGTCGTGTTGGTGTTGGTGATGATGGTTGTAGTTGAAACCACCGTAGCCGAGGTGGAACTAGGAACTGTTTGTCCCCCTCCCAACTGTCTTCAACTTGGATGTTTTTCAGACACCACAGGGGGTAGAAATGAAGCCCTACAGGAAGAAGGCCCTCCTGGCAGCGAGGGTTTCATGGGCAGTCACGAGGGTGGCCCAAGAAATGCCCCTAGGGTAAGGTGACCAGACGTCCTGCTTTTGGCAGGACAGTCCTGATTTTTAACAATTTGTCCCGTGTCCCGCGGCATTTTTTTAAAGTCCCGATTTTTGAGAAAGAATGCACGACAAGCTAGGGTATACGGTTTTCGGCTGCCATGTGGCTATTTCGCCAGGATATGAGTTTTATCAATGGTATCCCGCTTTTGTCCCGCTTTACCAATGTTAAAACCTGGTCACCTTACCCTAGGGATTTCAGAGAAAGGCTGTCCACTGGGCTGGAATTGAGGGAAGAATAGGCACAGGCTTCAGAGAGTCCCCTTCTGCTGCCAAAGGCCGCAGAACCAGTTTGGCTGCGAGGTGGCCTCTGCTGACTCTCCTGCTCGGGTCAGCTGCGACATGAACCTGAACCTTCCAAAGAGCACGTTCCACAGGCTCGGGCAGGTGGTGGCTTCCTGATTTCAAGGGGGCAACACATGCAGCACTGTGTTAAAACGCCTCGCTCTGCCCTGACCCCAGCCCCTGGCTCTCTTAACTGCTGTTCTCCAAGCCAAAGATTCCATGGAACCAAGACCCACCCGGCCTATCCGATTTCATCCCTGATGCACACGGGCTTGCATTTCAGGCTTGAGTCCTGAAAGCAAGCGGTCACCTGGCTTTTGCCAAAACCCCAACTATTTGAAAAATGGCTGTGGCAGGGCCAGACCTCAGACCAAGCCCACTGCCCCCAGCGCCCCTAGCCTCGGGCCCAGATTCCCAGAGCTCCAGCTCTGCCAGGCCCGGCCAAGGCTGTACTGGGCAGATGCAGCGTGGGTGTGGGCTCATGCCCGGAACAGTGTGTCCGGGGTGCCAGGCACAGGTCATGAGGACAGTGTGCAGCAGCGGGCACAGGATGTGGTGCGGGGCGCCCGAGTGTGGGTGTGTGGCACTGCTCTGGTCATCAATAAGGGACGATGCAGTGTTAGCAGGGCACAGGGGCCCTGCGTGGTGTGTGGGGCGAGGCGGCCCTGTTGAGTTGGTGGGCACGGATGCCAAGTGCATGTAGCCGCATAGAGTTGTGTTTGCAAAGACAGCTGTACTGGTATGTAGCCTAGTGTGTGGTGTGAGGGAGGAGCTCGTGCTTGGGTGTGAAGATAGGAATGTGTATGTGGGTGTGCAAACTGGACGCTGCGTGGAAGCTGATACTTCAGGTAAGGCGCGAGAGTGTCGATGCACACAAATGTGAATGTGGGACGTGTGGGTGGAGATGGCGCTTATGAAAGCTGGTGTCCGTGTGTGACTGGCTCGTGCTTACAAAAGGCTGTGGGTTCTCAGTAGAAGAGAGCCGTGTGTACCCTGTGTGCAGTCTCTATATGCCAATACTTGTGGACGTGTCTGTGTGTGTGAGCACACGCAGAATGGGAGAGGCACGCATTCTCAAGCGTGTGCTCCAGTGTGTGTGACCAGCCACGGATGCCTGCGGGTGTGGCGGTCCTCCTGGTGACCACACTGTGCCGTCACACGGGTCCAACGCACATCGCTGCAGGAGTGGATTCTAGCTCTACTGGTGGGCATCGGGCCAATGTGAAGGGAGATCATGGTGATCGTAATGGAACCTTCTCTGCCTCTCGTGCATAGGCTTGTTAAAGGCAGGCTCTTAAGGAGATGGTCCGTTTCGGTCTCGTTCAGGCTACCCTGGGCAAGGTCCCTGAACTGCTCACACTTTGAACGTTAGCACGATTACTTTTTACAGAGAGGTCTCTCTCCGCAGCCCTGCCTTCTTACAGATGGAGGAACCCTGGAGACCCAGCAGGTTTTGCATCGGCCTGCTAACCCCAAGGGCAGCAGTTCAAAACTACCAGCTGCTCCTCGGGAGCCAGAGGAGGCTCTCTGCTCCCAGACAGAGGGATAGTCTCGGGAACCCCCATCCTGTAGGGCTGCTGGAGGCCAGCCGGCCTCCCTGTGCTTCGCCTCCTCCTCCTTTCCCGTTTCTGATCTCCTGTGCGTTAGCCGCCCAGCAAGATTACAACTGCCCGACCCTAAGAGTAACCGAACGCCGAGGGCACCGCGGTGCTGCGCTCTGGCATCCATTCTGGACGGCCCTGGCTTCCTGGCTGGTGTTGTGACGTTTTTTAGAAATTGGGGTCGTCAGGCGTGCAGCCAACAGCCCGGGATTTGGCGCACCTATAGATGTATGCTGTGAACGCTTCTGTGGATGTAGCTGAATGTCGAGTCACGGGTGTGATGGGCCCCACAGCAGGACATGGGTTTGGAAGTGTCAGTGTGCGCGTGCGCGTGTGCACACACACATTTCTGAGTTGTGTGTGGCAAGGGTGAGGATGTGGTGCGGCTGGACCCTGCGGGCTGGACAGCTATGCACTGTCTGGGGACAGACACAGCCAGGGGTCCCGAGGCCCAACGCCTCCATACCAGCCCCCTGCCTCTCCACCACACTGCGCACGCATCAGGGGCTGCCGAGAGCCTTGGGTGGGCTGGCCGCTCACAGTGCAGTCCCTCCTTGTTGCCCTTCCACACTGAAGAATAATGATAATAGAGTAACATCGCCCTAATCCAAACCGCATCCCTTTCAGACTCCTCACGGCCTCCATGTTGGGGGCCTGGAGGCTGGGTTAAAGGCTTGCCTTCGCTGGGCTGATAAAAAGGGGAGGGGTCTCACACCGAGCCCTTGCCCACGTCTAAATGTACAGAGCTCGCTTTTAAATTTCCCGGAGGCTTCGTTTTTTTTGGGTTGTTGGGCTTGGGGTTCCCCCCTTTTCCCCTTTTTCTTTAGTTGGGGTTGGGGGTTTGGAGTAGTGTGATTTCACTGTTCTATCCATCATTATCATTAGCAGCATCACCTGGGTGGACGGCCGCCCCAGCTGAGAGATCTGCTCAGTGGGTGGGGACCTTAGCACGGGCCGGGCCTTGCCCACAGCCACACTGGTTCAAAGCAGAGCCTGGGCTCCCGTCTGGCAGGTCTCTCCCCGGGGGTCCTTGCTGCCCAGCGGCCTTGGGAACTGGGGCAGGGTAGTCTGCTCCCACCAGTTCCCAAGCTCAGCTCAGCTCGCATCTCTGCTTGGCCCCCTTTGCTCCCCGCCCTGGGGAGGGGCCTCGCTTGCTGAGCACCCAGCCGCCTCCCCAGTCCAGCCCCGCCTGCCCTATTCACTCCCTGTTCATTTCTGTTTCCAGTGCAATGTGCCACCCCCAGCCCTCCCACCTCCCCTGCCTCCCCGACTCCACCAGCCAACCCCCTCTCGTCTGAATCCCCACGGGGCACCGACTACAGCCATACCATGCGGGTCTGAGCTCTGACGTAAGCACTTTTCTACTGTATTGCATCCACCCTGGGAGTGGGCCCCCTTCCCTCAGCCCCATTAAGCCATCCATGCCCTTGTCTGGTATGGCTTCTCCCTTGACCTTGGTATGTCTTGTGCCCCTCTGTATCCATCCATCCACCCACCTAACCTCCCACCTGTCCATCCGTGCGCTGGAGTCCACTGGCATCCCCCTGCAGTGCTGTGCTAGGGAGCCAGCTGCCAGGACTGCTTCTGGAACGTGGCCATGCCAAGGGGCTGTGCTTCTGCAGAAGCCAACAGGAAACAGAGCTGGCACCCTCCTGTTCCTGCTCCCTCTCCCTCTTGGCTGGGGGTCTTCCCTCTGTTGAGATTTAAAATAAATAAAACAGCCCTGCCCTGGAAGCTCTCAGAAGCCCCTGGAAGCTGATGCGCCACTCCCAGGCTTGGCTGTCCGTGGAAGTGGCATGGGACCACAGGCTGTGCCCACGTCCCTGCCCCAGCCAGTTCGTGTCGGGCAAGGAGCAAAGAGTGGGACTGGCGCTGCTGGTGGCCCCTTTCCCAGGCCTCGGGCACAGGGCGGGTGTCTCTTTATAAGAGGAGGGTGGCTGAAACCATTGCTCCTGGGAGCAGGTCCCCCTCACCCCGTCTCTCTCTTCTCCAGTGCAAGCCCTGGCCGAGGCCAATGCTGTGAAGCCCCAGAGAGCCACATCCTGAAGTCCTTGGCCGCCTGAACGCCTGCCTCCCCACCCCGGGCCCTACCCTTGCGCTCCCTGTGGGTGCTGCAGAGTGCTCCCGGCTGGGGGGCAGGGCTTGGTACTGAGGGGAGTCTGGATACCCAGGGTCCCCATGCCTAGTCCTTAAGCCCTCACGACGCCCACCCTGGTCCTGCAGCAGACCAGCATCTCTCTGATGCCCACCTCGCG